AAAGTCAATTTAATAAAAAGATTAGCACGTTGGTACACATTTTTCCGTGCACATGTGCCCTATGCCACTTTTCAACCTTTAAACGATAATAACCTTCTTCAAAGTCGTTGATTTGGAAAGCTGAACTGAGTATGACAAACTTCAGGATTCAAGCTTTCTAAGTGCTAGAACTTACTCAAAAACCTCCTAGTTAAAAAATAGTCCCGTTGGGATTTTTTGGAAGGGAATTCTTCAGAGCCATTTTCTTGAAAACGCGGGTTTTTTTTTCAAGGTTTCGCTGTCGTAACTTCCCGGAAGACTACTTCCATGGTGAACATGGAATGTGCTAGAAAGCTTCGAGCATGCGCCTGCGCTGCCATGGTGTGCGCCACGCCCAGGCGCGCTTTTATTCGCTGATTCATTTCAAAGTCCATTTGGAGAGAAGCGTGAGCTGATAGATGCTCTAGTATCGGTTATTTTGCGTGAAAAATAACCTTGTAATAGCCATGTTAGTTCAGGCAATGCTCCAGTTTAACCTGCGGTTTCGTGGCTATTCATACATGGGGCGAGCACTCTCTTCGAACGAAGCTACATGTTTCGCTGCTGCTGTTTCTGCAAGTATTGCTCTTCATGGCTGGGTCTATGCGGGATAAAGGGCTTTGCTCCCACTGCTGAGGCTGACCTCTCCCACAAGCTGATCCAAATAGGACCCCTCCTGGTACTTGTACCAACATAGAGTTGACCCTGGCCAAGGACAGAACTTAGGAGAGCGGCCAAAACTTTCAGAAAGACTGTAATGTAAGCGTAAGAAAGTGAGTGTAATCTGATGCAGGGGAAAATAAACGCCAAGCTACACCAGGGAAGACTGTGCTGAAATGATAATAGCGAGCAGGGCTACCCCTCAGATTCCAATTCTAAAACTGTTTTACGATCAGCACCTTCTGGTGCTGGTGATGGGGGCGGTGGAAGCGTGAAAACAACCCTTGTTACCACGCACCACACCCACCACCACCAGTTTTCTCTAAAGGAATTGATCCCGAGACCAGGGGCATTGTCCCATCCTCCCCCCAGGCTAGGGGATCAAGAGTTCTTTGAATTTTTGTTTAAAACGACACTGCTCCCTTACTTTACGCACTTGTCTGCTTCAACAGACGTATATACATCACAATAAGGCAAATTCTCGAGGCGAATTTTGTTTGAAATACAAAGAGAATATGAAGGGGTTTTTCGTTCCCCTAGCTTAGGAGATAAGATACGGCCCCAGTTGAAACACTCTAGCACCGCACCCGCCCACATTTCCTCTTCATAATGGCCGTATGACAAACGAAGAGGGGGATGGAAGCCAAAATGTCTATACGAACAACAAATTTTCTCAATTTGTTTTTCTTATAGAAACCCTTCTTTCCTAGCAATCGTCAAAATCGCCAGAAATCCAACCACCAAAAATGTGCTCCCCTTATTTCCAAAATCAACTCGGATATGGCTTCCATAACAGTCTGACTTGGTCCGGACGGTGGATCCTGCTGCCAAGTGTAAGCTACCTAGACATGCTATCTGTCCGGACACATTTGCATTTCAAATATGTCACGAACCTTGTTCTAATTTGCAAGCACTAAAAACACCAAACATGAATTAAGGAAGTATACAGCATGTTGAGGTCACATATCACAACTTATTCATAACTCAGCAACCTAGACGGAAAGGGGATTCAATATAGTATCAATTGCCCAGCACATACGTACTGACCAGGTGAAGACCAATTCCACAGTGGTTATGTTACCAACAGAAAACAGAAAATTGTCTTTTGTCTCCATAACGTTGCTTATTCTCAAATCGAATAAAATCTGATGGCGCCGCTACAACTTTGCTGTAAAAATAATGCACAGTAAAAAAATACAAAGACGAAAACACATGAAGGCAAACTCGTTTATCATACAAAACCTTCGTAGTTAAGAGGAACTTCGACCAGAAGAGTAATAATTTAGGTTAAGCTTAATGACCACGCATTCATCTTACATCTTAGTCGAGCCACCCAGCAGATCAAGTTAGACAGGTTTATAGTCCAGCTTCGTTTCAAGCTTCTTCGCATCTCCAACCTGAAACGAGTGGCCATAGTGAAACCAACACGTACAGAGTAGTTTTTCAAGTAAAAAAAATGTAAGATTTTTGGCTTATATATTCTTCCGTGACCACATACAAACCGAAATAATTGTGGTGGGCTCTTCAAAACCCATAATAATAATAATAAACAACAAACCTTCCTGACGGCTTTCATGAAATCCTCTTCAATGACGTACTCTCGCTCGGCCCTGATCGCATAAAGACCTCAAATGAAGAGGTAGTTTTCACTATACATTCTCAATTACAATTACAAAAGAAAATGAACGTACCAGCTTCTGTACACACATTACGCAAATCAGCACAAGAAAACCCGTCCGATAACTTAACAACTGCCTCGTAATCGATATCACCGTGTTTTGTAATCGGGTTTGCGTGGATTTTCAAAACCTATTGAAAAACGAATATAAAAACAGAAGCCATAGAGAAATTACCGTGAAAGCACAACACACCTCAAGTCTGGCTTGTTCATTCGGCAGAGGAATTTCAACCTTACGATCAAGACGACCGGGACGTAGGAGAGCAGGATCAAGAGTGTCGGGGCGATTGGTTGCCATGATAACCTGGAAAGATCAGTGAAATAAACAAGAACATGAACATTTCACAAGGAGTGAGTTCAAAAAAGATGCACTGCACGCAACGAAAACTCTTACTTTGACTTTTCCCAATGAATCGAAACCGTCCAACTGATTAAGCAGCTCCATCAAAGTTCGTTGAATTTCACGATCAGCTGAAGTGCCTTCGGAAAACCGTCGACCACCTGAAAATAATTCATTACTAATATCACATTGATATCAGTAGTAACAACATCACGACAACGGGAAATAAAGCATGCTAATCCTTGATGTTGTTATGTTGTAACAACATAAAGTAACATACACAAGCCCACGTTCCAAAAAATCGAACAAGGAATCTATTGAAACAGCGTAAACCCTCCGCCCTTCTCTACAACAATTATCAGCTAAATCGATATGTATCACTTGTTTGCAATGACCAAAAGAGAAATAGAAAGCACAAACTAGTATAATAATGTCAGAAAATCCTTCAAAACCTTTTGCGTGCAGTCGTCGACCTCCTTTCTCATAAATGACTGACTTAGGGCTATACAGTTTTTATATAGTTAGCCCACATGTGATGCTTACTTTTTATATGATAGGAGAATCAAAATCCCAGAAAGCGATGAAATTCAACGTTCTTGCGAGAGTCTCGAGAAACTACCAAGGACTACTGTTCAAAATAGAAAAGCTCATTATGAACCAATTTTCAGCCAAAAGGATGCAACTTGCGCACAGTTCATATCCGTTAACGCCATCAAAAAGAGCTTCACAGCAGCAAAAATATTCAACAAAAAACAGACTGACCATTTAATAGATGGTATAGAACTTTTTAAAAGCATCAAGTGAAAAATTTAATTTATTAAAGTTAAAACAACGACCGAGAGGGCCTCACACTAGAGCACACGGAGTGGGACAACCATCTTACGACTTGCAAATTCGGATTTTGTGAATATTTTGCGCGTGCAGATAGTGCGGTGGTTCACACGCAAGCGATCGTGGATCGGATCAGTACTGGTGTCTACTTCCCTACTGACTATCACAACACTATACCCGATTCCATCCAATTGTAATATATCAAGGGGACAAATAATAGATAGGTAAAGACAAAAAAGAAACAGAAGCAATTGTGATAGACTAAGCGCATATAAGCTTACCAATGCTAATCAAATCTCGTCCATGAAAACAATACAGGGTTGATGATCGCGAGCATAATTGAAACATCTCACGAATCATTCGAGCAGACTCGCCGATATATTTATCGACAATAGCAGACGAAACCACTTTCAAGAAATTACAATCCAACTGAGATGCAACAGCTCTGAAACCCCAGAATATCCAAGAGTGAATTCCAATGTAGCAAAAGAGTAGTACTAACCTTGCGAAGAAGCGTTTTGCCTGTTCCTGGCGGTCCGTATAGCAGACACCCTTTCGGTGGAGTTATACCAACTCTGCGACATTCTGGATTGATCCATGGTAATTCACAACCTGAACTGCAAGTTTACGAAATGATAAACGGCACCTAAATATGCATTATGATACTTAATTATATATCGCTATCCCGAAAAAAAAAACTTCACTAATTTGGTAATATAACAAACATGAAAATTTCGACGGAACAATTGAGGTTCACTTTTAAGAAAAGACAAGATAGGTGGACTAATTGCACATAAGAAGCGAAGACAGATCTACTTGAGAATTTGTATAAATCACCTCTCGAAGCTCACGAATTTGCTCTGCCAGTCCACCAACATCAGCATAAGTAATATTTCCAGGATCTTCGTGCGACATCTTGTAAACCAAAGGGTCCACTTCCCGAGGCAACTGGCGCCTATAACTAGCAAACTCAAACCAAACAACATCCTGTGAGCTCCTCGTTAGATCTCCTGCACTATTCCCCATCTTTCATGCGTGAGAAAGTTATTCCAACCTTCTCCTTTCCGACTCCAACTCTTACCCATTTTCTCAAGGGAAGGACTTTAAGTGAATGAGTTCTTTCACACATTCATTCTAGAAAAATGTCAAGAAAAGTTTGTTTCTCAAATGCGCAGGGCTCCAGCATGGGGATGTCCTTCTCCCAACGACACCGCGGCAGTTTTCAACAGAAAATACCTAAATCGCGTACATAATAGTGAGTGTGGTCATATCAAGAGCGACTCGAGTGCCCTGCTTGAGGGCTTCCTTGTTTATCGAGCGACGGCAGCCAACCACGTATCTCGGTCCATTGGTAGCCTGAAACCATAGGGAAGTAGCAGAATCACGGTAAAAGGGGTGGAGAGAATGATAAAGAAGTCTACCTTGACAATGAATTTCTCCTCAGTAAGCTGTTTAAGCACTTCTCCCACGATCTGCCCTACTGACTGTAGTGATTTGATATCATTTTCAGACTTATCGAAACTTTTCTGTGTCTCAGCTTCCTAAACATTTACCATATAGTAGTCATATGGGTGTTCGCATCACTACTTATTCGACTTTTCACAAATATATGACTCAAAACTTAGGCTGGTGTCAGAGTCCGCGATCCGTCGCAGGTTTCGCTGATTTTCGCGATTTGCGCGATTCACGCGACGGGTCACGGAAATCACAAGTGCCCGATCAATACTGCAAGGTGTTCTCCAATCCTGCCGCCACTTCTGCTTGATAGTGATGGCTGAATGACGACTGCTCATGATTCCACTTGTTTCATATTCAGTGTTTCAAATGTTCACACACTTGCAATTTTTGCGATCCGTCGCGTGAACGCGCAAATCGCGTGAAATCGCGCAAATCGCGCAAATCGCGAAAATCAGCGAAACCGACGGATCGCGGACTCTGACACCAGCCTTAGTTGCGTGAAACAAGAATTGCGAATCTACACCTAATTATAATTACCATTGTGTTTAGCAGTTGAAAAGGAAGAGAAAGAACATGGGAATAATGACTATGTAAAAAGGAAATAACAAGCCAGCTCTAGGAAATAATGCAATCTGTAGCCCAGACAGGGCACCCTTAAGTTCTAACGAGGAGGCCTGAAGGATCGAGTTCGAGCAACACATAAAACATGGTACATGGTGTAGGAGAGGGAGGGGGCATTTTGGTAAAACAATTTTTGCAGATAACACCAATCGCAATTTTGCACCTGGCTTAATTCGAAGTCAATTTATGCTACGAGCCTTGTTCCTAATCCCAAATCTGTTATAGCCAGGGATAGAGAGGATTTTGGCCCGATGTAAAGAAAGCTGTGGTGCGGAATGGGTGAGCGGAAACTCCTGTGAGTTGGGG